GACAGAAAAGTTCGAAAAAAATTTCGGGATTGATTTCAAGCGGTGGAAGCAGAATGTTCTTCTACTTGACGACTTTAAGTCTACAGAAGCTCATTAAGGAAGATGTTCCTGTTCTGCCTGACGGAACTCCAGAAAATGAACGCTTCCCTGTGACTGAGGCGTGGAAGCATTCTAATTTTTGTACAAGAATTATATTCTTAGCGGACTGGAGGACGATATGTATAACGTCTATAGTAATATGAAGACGTCAAAAGAACTGTGAATTGCGCTTGAAAAGAAATACAAAACTGAGGATGCCGGGTTGAAGAAATTTGTTGCTGCAAAAATTTTGGACTAAAAAATGGTAGATAGCAAGTCTGTTATTACCCAAGTCCAGGAATTGCAAGCGATAATTCACGATCTCCTTGCTGAAGGTATAAGTCGAGTTAATACTTTTGTTAAAACTATTAATTATATTATTATTACTAATATAATTTTCATTGAAGGTTTTGTCATCAATGAAACATTCTAAGTTGCAGCAATGATTGAGAAATTGCCTCCTTTGTGGAAGGACTTCAAAAATTACTTGAAACACAAACGCAAGGAGACGTCGCTCGAAGATCTCATTGTTCAGTAGAGGATCGAAGAGGACAACAAAGCTGCTGAACAGAAAGGTCGTGGAAACTCAACAATAATAGGAGCAAACATTGTTGAGCAATCATTTGAGACATGAAGTCAATACTATATCGTAATGGAAAGAAGTATTTTATAACTTTTATTGATGATTGTACACGTTATTGCTATGTTTACTTACTTACAAGTAAATATGAAGCAATAGATGCATTCAAGAAATACAAAAATAAAATTGAAACGCAACTTAACAAGAAAATTAAAATAATAAGAAGTGATAGAGGTGGTGAATACGAATATCCTTTTGAAAAAATATATTTAGAATATGGAATTATTCATCAAACAACGGCCCTTTACACGCCACAATCTAATGGGATTGCGAAAAGAAAGAAGCGATCATTAAATGAGATGATGAATGCTTTGTTGATAAGTTCTGGTTTGCCACAGAACTTGGAGGGGGGGGAGCCATTCTTACGGCAAACCGGATACTAAACCGAGTACCCCATAGCAAAACGCAATCTATTCTATAAGAAAAATGGAAAAGAAGGAAGCCCAACTTGAATTATTTTAAAGTATGGGGATGTTTGGAAAAAGTGCAAGTTCCTAAACCCAAAAGGGTAAAGATATGACCGAAAACCGTTGATTGTGTTTCATAGGATATGCAACCAATAGTAAAGCATATCGATTTCCAGTTCATAAATTAGAAAATTCCGACATTCATAATAATATGGTTATAGAATCAGATAATGCTAAATTCTTCGAAAATATATATATCCGTATAAAAAGGAATGTGAGTCGATTGGTGAAGGATCTAAACGAACTCGGGAAGAAACAAAAGAAAGTACATCTAATCAGGAGGATCCAAGACGTAGTAAACGTCAAAGAACGTCTACTTCATTTGGACTATATTTTGTGACTTTCTTATTGAAAATTGAGCCTCGAACATTTAAAGAAGCAATGTCTTCTTCAAAATATTTATTTTGGAAAGAGGCAATCAATAGTGAAATAGAATCCATATTGAACAACCATACATGGGAATTTGTTGATCTTCCTCCTGAAAATAAACTGTTGGGTTCTAAATGGATTTTTAAGAGGAAAATGAAAGATGATGGCACTATTGATAAATATAAGGCAAGACTTGTGGTCGAAGGGTATAGACAACGAGAAGGTCTTGACTATTTTGATACATACTCTCAAGTTATAAGAATTACGTCCATATGAACATTAGTAGCATTATCTGCGGTATATGGTCATGAAATTCATCAAACGGACGTTAACACGGCCTTCTTAAATGGAGATTTAGAGGAAGAAATCTACATGGAACAACCTGAAGGGTTTGTGGTTCCAGGTAAAGAAAAGAAGGTATGTAGACTTGTTAAGTCACTTTACGGACTAAAACAAGTACCTAAACAATTGCATGCGAAATCTGACCAAACAATGTTGTCAAATAGTTTTATGATAAATGAATGTGATAAGTGTGTATACATTAAAAATGTTCCAAATCACATAGTCATTGGTTGCTTATATGTGGATGATATGCTGATAATGAGTAATGACATTGCCAAGATAAATGCGACTAAACATATGTTAACTAGCAAGTTTGATATGAAAGACTTGGGAGTTGCCGATTTTATTCTGGGTATTAAGATCTGTAAGACTCATCAAGGTCTGGTATTGTCGCAATCTCATTACATTAAAATAGTACTTGGAAAATTCAAGCAGTTAGATTTTAAAGTTGCAAAGACTCCAATGGACGTAAATATTGCACTAGCAAAGAACAAAGGACAAAGCATATCACATTGGATTATGCTCGTGTGTTGGGGATATTTAATGTATATCATGAATTGTACACAACCATATATAGCTTGTGCTATAAGTAAATTGAGTTGATACATGAGTAATCCAGGTCAATCTCATTGGATGGCAATGAAACAAGTTTTGGATATTTAAAACATACCCAGGACTTTTCTTTGCACTGCAGTAAATATCCTGCGGTGATTGAGGGATACTGTGATGCAAATTGGATCACCGGTTCAACTGATTCTAAGTCCACAAGTGGATATGTATTCACTATTGGTGGAGGAGCGGTATCTTGGAAATCTTCCAAACAAACTTGTATTGCCCGCTCTACAATGGAGGCTGAGTTCATAGCCTTAGATAAAGCCGGTGAAGAAGCTGAATGGCTCCGAAATTTCTTGGAAGATATTCCATTTTGGCCCAAACCGTTGGCCCCAATATGTATACATTGCGATAGTCAAGCGATAATTGGAAGGGCCGGGAGCATTATGTATAACGGTAAATCTCGTCATATATGATGGAGACATAAAACCATTAGGAAATTACTCTCTAGAGGAATTATCACGATTGACTACGTAACGTCAAGCGATAATGTGTCAGATCCACTTACGAAAGGCCTAACTAGAGAGGTAGTTGAGAAATCATTGAGGGGAATGGGACTATGGCCTAGGACAAGTCCTTGTGGCGGTAACTCTACCTAGAAGACTAGAGATCCCAAGATCTAGGTTCAAGGAGATCAAACAAAGTCATTAATGACGGTTCAACATTGTCAACTAAAGTTTTTGGTCCATTCTCGTGATGAGACAATGTTCAGTACCAAGGATAAAACATTAAGGCTTTTTAATGGTTTCTAAATTTGATACGGGGTATATCAAGTAGTGTATCTACAGGATGACACATTTAGGAATCACCTATGTAAGTGTGAAGTGTTAGCCGCTTCAAGGAGAATTCTG